CTTTGAAATCTGTTTTTGGATTGCAAGGTTTTTTTTTTTTTTTAAAAGGAAAATAAATCATTACTGGCTTGTTTTAGTCTTCATGACAACATTTTATTACTATATAATTATAACTTTTTCATTAAAGTGAAATTTGACTATAAAGTTACAAATTACACAGGAACTGCTTTTTCAGATCTACGTGTAGATATTTAATGTAGTTAAAATGACTGTTTAAACTCAGTGTCTTTTATACGGTTGACAAACCTTTTCTTCGGACAGAATGGCTTACACATTTTTGAGAAATTATTTATTTTCTTTGATTTATTTAACAGTTATTAGTACCTCCGATATTATTTTTTAAATGTAATATTTAATCTTCTTACTCAAGATTCCGAGAAGCAAAGTTCCATTGAAAGTGGAGAAATACGGCTGAACGGCAAGGGGAAGAAGATTCGCAAACCACGCACGATCTACTCGAGCTTACAGCTGCAGGCGCTCAACCAGCGCTTCCAACAGACCCAGTACCTCGCGCTGCCGGAACGCGCTGATCTGGCAGCCAAACTGGGGCTGACACAAACACAGGTATGAACATATAACAGCACTGAATTAAAGATGGAGAATAACTCCGACTTTACGCCATGATGTGTGTATCGCGTATCTGTGTGTCTGCATGCTTTTGTGGACCGTTCTGAAAAGAAAAATGGTTCATAGGCTAATAAGAAAGAATTAAAGGTCGCTATTCTTTCTATAAATACCAGAAGTGTATAGGGTCTAGTCTATAAGAACAATACAAACCAATGTGAAGACTTCAACAGGTAACTGTGCGTAGGCCTGTGTCTTATAGGATTGTACAAAAGACAAAGAAGGACGTTGGTAGCGCGTAAAGTGTAGTTGATCTCTACCGCACGTTCCCAAATACATCGTTCAAACGTTAGTAAAATATCAAAAGCCTCGAATCCTTTTCGAACCATTTGTCAGGGACAAAGGAACGAAAAATAAACGATAACCATGGAGGCCTATTTTGCATTGTTATAAAATGCTATGTCGTCTACTTGCCTATTTGTGTTTGTAAATATAGCAAAAAATGTGGTTTTGTAAAGAACGATACTTCGCGAGCTGTGCTGCCACGGGATTTACATGACAGGCAAGTTAAAAACTTTATATAGGCTCACGTTTATAAGAACAACTTCGATGTGTGATATAGGCTATTCTTAATAATATTTCTTATAAAAGTAATATATGACCCTGCAAATGGTTTTCGCCCTCAATTTCGCAAACAAGAAAAACAAATAAATAAAAGTGAGCACGAGTCTCTTCCTTCTTCAATTGCAGATTCTAATCTGCTTCAATTATCAAAATCGTGGCAGCCACATATCTCGCATAATTGTAGTCAAAAGTAGATATTGCATATACTTAAATATACGAATGCAGATATAGTAACTATGCGATTCATCAGTGCGGATATGACCATGGCTGTAGTATCCGGTTTTGTTTAGTTCTGTTCTGTTTCCAACCAGAGAGAGCGCAAAGTTAACTGCAGTGTTTCATATAATTTTTCAGATTAAGTTGTTTTTATATAATAAAAGGGAGTTTGTATGAATAGGCCTATAACTTTTTTGTTCAGATTTATATTAAGAAAGTAAATATCCAACTGTCATTTACAATAGTTGATGATTTCACGCAGAGTGATTTTACTGTATACTTATCACAGTAACGGTTCCCTTGCAACAAGTCCATGTTAGGTACACACATGCATTCTAAAATTTTTTTTCTTATGACAGTGTTTTTATAAATAACATGCATCTAATTGTATCTATTTTTGCCAAGCATGCTTTCTAGGGTTAATCTCTTTAGAGCATCAATATTTCTGAAATCAACATTTCAACTTATTAAAGTCATAATTATTTATTGTATTATATTCAGCAACATTTAGCGACATCCAGTAATTGGTCACAAGCTATATGTCTATGTAACCAAACAAATTTAAGAACTTCTCTCTACTCCAACCTTATATGACCCATTTTACGTGGTGGCCTATAGTTCACCTGACTTCTCCCTACATTTCAGTAACTATAATGAAAGGACACACTGAAGCTTCTAGAAAAATTTAATTAATCATAAATCATTGTTTCTTCAAGTACAGGCACAAATGTTATATGATTTCTATTAAAAAATCAAAATCATCTGTTATGAAGATGTAAACTTTTTTGTCTTTTTGTTATAGAAAATGTCACATTAAAACTGTCTTGAAAATATGTTTTTCCATTTATTTGGCTACTTTTCAAATGCCTTTTTTTTGTAGATTGATAGTTTGAAAGTCTGGGTCTGGTAGTGTTGCAAATACAAAGATATGAGTTATTACATTTTTAAAACAAAACAGAGTGAAAGTGAAACTAAAAGCAATATTTATGGTCTGAAAATTATTTATATATTATTTTAAACACAGTATGACCTTCATTCATGCTCTTACTATCATAACTTACTGTGTTACAGTATTATTTTTTGTGTAGCATATAAAACTTTAAGATGTGTGTGTGATAGTGTGTGGCCAGTTTGCAGAGCCAAATTCTTTATTAGCAATTGAAATTCTGTCATTGCTGCAGTAAGAAAGTGTTGAATGTTGCCTCTGGCACCTGTTCCTGTTTTTTAGTACAGGCGGCTCATTTAATCTATTTTCTGATAGTAATACATGCAGACATCATTTTAGTGATAAAAATAAAGGCATCACTGCATGACAGAGATGTTCTAAAGGCGGCAAGAGGAACATCACATAAAAAAACAAACAATTGTGAAATCCTAAATTAGAATAATTATTTTGGGTGTCAGCGTGCAGAGAAAACGTTAAAAGGGTAATTGGACTTTCATCCATCTTAAAAGTCTCTTGGAACACATCACTTCAATTATGTTTCATTATAGAAGATTTTACAGCTCTGTGGGTGTGACTTTAATTGTAAATTCACAATTAGTACGAATTTTCCACGTTAGTCACACAATTAAGAAATTAAAAACACCAGATTATAATATCAAGGCTAGTTTATATCATATATTCTTAAAAAAAAGTGTGTTGTGTTGTGTGCTAGGGAGATTTCTGGTTAAAATTTTGGACTGATCACAGTTTTATTTCATCCAAAGAACTGTCAAGCTCTTCTCACTTGCAGCAAGCTCAAGCTGGCGTTGAAAAAAAAAAATCATGCTGAATCAAAGCTGGCAGAGATTCACTCTTAAAATGTCTGCTTGTGATGTTCTGTTAATTCTGAACATCAGTGTTTGTAAAAAACAGACAAGAAGAAAAAGTCTGACTTCCCTGCTGTTGATTCTGTAAAAGTTAACAAAACAAAGAACTAAAATGTTAGTAATTTTAGTAAAAAATTTTTTTTAAATGGTCCAGTAAAATCTGTTCATGCTTTGTTAATTTATCTTAAATAGTTAAAAAAAAAAAAATTTAATAGTACATGTAAAATACATGTAATTTTACTATAAAACAGCAATGTTGCTGTTGTTAAAAAGGATTACAATTTACCATGAAAACCTGTATTTCAAAGATAACATGTTCCTTTATAGTAAACTGTGGTTTCAAATGAAAAGAAAAACAACAGTTCAATTTAGTACTTTATTTACTTTTATAAATAAGTTGCTTTCATACTTTTTATTGGAAAAAAAAAAGTTTCCAGAAGTCTCTGTGTGATGCATTAGATTTGACTATATTATTTTAACTGTTATGTAGCTTATTTTTGTGATCAGGGTGTTTTATTTACATTGTATATTGTTCATAATATCACCAGTTTGTATGTGTTTCTGACTATGTTTTGTCTGTTTATGACTATGTTTTGTCTGTTTATTAGCTATTGTGAAATGCTGATTTTGATTGTAACTTTATATAGTAACATCATGGGGCCTTCTGTTTGACATTTAAGCAGTTAATAAATTATATGTTTAATTAAATATATGGTCTCAAACATCCCCCTATATTTCCCACCTGAAAAGTGCTTATGGTTCTACATGTATTTTGATCATTCCTTCCAGTCTTGCTTGACTTGTTATGAATAATAAAAATAAAGTTCACCATATGCTTTTAAACAGGTGCAAACATGTGTTGTAACAAATGCTAATCCAAATGCAAATGTTACAGGTAAAGATATGGTTCCAGAACAAACGTTCCAAGTACAAAAAGATCATGAAGCATGGATCAAGTGGACCAGAAGGAGAACACCTTCAAGCAGCTTCTGCATCCGGAACACCATGCTCACCAGGAATGCCCCTGTGGGATGTTTCCATGTCAACCAAAGGTGCCCCCATCCACTCTGGAGGATATATGAACTCTTTTGGACACTGGTACCCTGGTCAACATCAAGACCCAATGGCCAGAACTCAGATGATGTGACGGGATGTTTAGGACAGTCTAGGACAGTTAATTTGCGTCCCCTCTACTGATTCTACCAGTCCACTCTGTTTCAGACCACACCAGCCCTTTTTAGCACTGTTTACTCACAGCCAAACGTTCTTCAACTTCCTCCCCAGTATTTGTTTCATGAAGATTCACATTGCTGACATTTTTTTGCTTGCAGGTTTTTGTGGTGTTTTTTTTTAAAAGATTTTGTAAGCTCTTGTAAATTTGAATAAAATGCCATTGTCTGATTGCTATGTATGCCTATCCTATATTTCAAAGCTTGCAACCTCAGTCATTCTTCTTGACTATTTATCAAACTATTGCATATTTTCTCTTCGCTACAACAGTAGTCTTGAAATCTAGCTTTGTTTCTCAAACTTCTCAGTTTGACCCTTTCATTAATGTGTTTGAATGTGCTCAATATTTCATTGTCAGGAATTTCAGATTGAATTTTAGGAAAATATATTTCTGACAAGTTTTATGTCCCTGCCGTGTGACAATGAATTTTTACAACTACAAATATTCCATGTGGTCTCTTAGTTTAAACAATAAAAATCTAAAATAAACGCAAAACAAATAAATAAATAAAAGTTAAATGAAAAATAAAGTTGCATGCATAATAACTATAAAATAATTACAATTATTTTAAATTAAAAATGTAGATGGCTATAGCATGTCATGCCACAGGACATGTAAACATGCCAAATGGATTTCATCTAAAAATCTCAAATATCTTTTTAAAGGCTATATTCCATCATTAAAAACACAAGACTTTCTGATGCCACCTAGTGGTTTGAAGCACACAAAGAGGGTAATAGCTTTGAGTGTTGGCTGTAGTTAACTCTCTCTAGGCCTAACAACAAAAACAACTAACAGATGAATGTGAACCCCTTTTGAATTATGTTAAGCTAAATACTGACCATTGGACTAAAAAAACACTAGACTAGACCATTATTTAATATACTCTAAAAGGCGACACAATGAAGATGGAACTGGATTAAAGAAAATCAAGTCAGCATTGAGGCCTGAGGAACAGCATTTTCTACTTGAAAGGCAATTTATCTTTAGCTGAACATGACAGACTATGAAGTGTCTGTTCAGCAGCTCAATGATCTGTTGACAGATGAAAACGGAGACTTCTGTATGCCCTCCAAACATTTCAATGAAGTTTACCCCGGGATACTCCTAGGAAATGAGTAAGTACACATAGCCTCCAGATGTGTTTTTTTTTTTTCTTTTTCCTCTTTAATTAAAGCAGCAGTGCTCAACAAACATTTACATTTTGCAATCATATGTTTAGCCTTTCTTATCTGATAAGTTGAGATTCAAAACATGTTCATGTATCCTGTTGCAAATTCTCAAGGGCAAGCCTTTAAATAAACATGGCCTATTTTCCATGTGTGAAGGACGCCCTCTAATGCTCTATGCTCATACTGATGCAGCTGTTATTTTACTGTATCTCAACAGGTCTGTAGCTACAAATGTAACACGTTTGCATCAGCTGGGAGTGACACACATCCTCAATGCTGCAGAAGGCCAATCAGACATGCATGTGAATACGGATGCAGAGTTCTATGCGGATACAGGGATCATCTATCATGGGATACCAGCCTTTGACACTGACCATTTTGACCTCAGCGTATATTTTGAAGAGGCTTCTAATTTCATTGAACAAGCTTTGGCAATGAAGGAGCTGAAGGGTCTTGGTAAAAAGCTTTAAATTATTAATATCTTTTTCTCGTCCCTCATCGTGGCAGTGGTACTGCTTTTGGCTCTTCAGAGCTAGATACTCATTGATAAAGCATAGTTCACCCAAAAAAGTTTAATTCTGTCATCATTTATTCACCCTCACGAGTGAATGTCAAGTATGACTTTTTTTTGTTTTACAGAAAATAACAGAAGATATTTTGAAGAATGTTGGTAACCAAACAGACATTTCTCAAATGATCTTCTTTTATGTTCCACAGTAGAAAGAAAGTCATGCAGGTTTGGAAAGACCACGAGGGAGTCAGTAAATTATGACAGAATTTTAATTTTTGGGTGAACTATCTATTTAGTATATCCTCAATCTTCTTAATATTTCAATGGCTCACTAATAATAATAAAATGGTTGCTTGCTGCCTGCTCTCACTGCTAACTTGGATATGCTTCATGAACCTCAACGCTTTAAGAAGGGCTTCTTTCACTTAACTACAGCAACCTGCTTTATCCAGACAATATAATATAAGCTACAAAAAATTTGGTAATATCACGCTAGCAAGAGCAATGATTGTGAGCGTATACAATAAGTTATTTAGCAACTTACATTTTAGATGCAGTATTGTCTGTTTTTGTCCGCCAGAGGAAGCCAAAGCTCTGCGCATTTCCAAGGCACACGCAATAAAGGTGTTTAGGCTACTGCTCGAATGACCAATAGTTTGAGTGAATTATTCAGTAACACATTCAGAAAAGTGTCATGCTTGAATGAAGCAGTGTTTTTGAAAGAATGTGACTCGCCCATGAAGAACCTTCTCGCCACCTACTGGCGTAATATGTAACCTGCAAAACAGAAAATCGCGCGAACAAGCGGAGTGATACAGACAGTGAAAAGTCTGCTGGGCTGTTATTTCAGCCTTCTTGGAGCGCCGTTCGACCAATCAAATTCGAGGACTGCTGGCTAGATTAGAATACAAATAAAAATTCTGTTCTTTTCAATGGGTTTCCTCTTAAGACTTTCCTTTCAGTTTTCCCAACACACTCTCATGGCGATTCGTAGCTATTTTGCGTTTTGGTGGATTTGTACGCTCTCATTCGCACGTTTCCGTAGGATCTTCTTGCACCTGGGTTAGGTTTCTAAAAATTCCCTACACATCAATTCTACTCATTAATATTTACATGAAATCGCCAACTCGTAAAAATTACGTTTTCTGTTGCTTTTTCCACGCCCTCTGTTAAAGTGACCTTAAAATCTTGAAAGTTTCTTTGAGAATTGTATATGCAGTTGCGCTCAATGTTATCCAGTAGTCACAGTCTCTCGTTTTTCTGTAGGTAAAGTGTATGTACACTGCCAGAAAGGCTACAGTCGTTCGGCTGCGCTAGTGATCGCACACCTGATGCTGCAGCACAGGATGGATGTACGAGCTGCTGTGGCCACAGTGAGAGAGAAACGGGAGATCGGGCCCAATGATGGATTCCTGCGCCAGCTCTGCCAGCTAAACGATAGGCTGGCAGGTGAAGGAAGGCTGTGTGTTGATAATACCTAAATATATAACCTAAACAGGCCTATATACATATAAAATGATTAGCTAAATTAATGTTTAATATTTCCATTGAATCTGTTTTTATCATCTAAATGTTAGCAGTTGGCAAGTCAATTTGGGTGAGTTGGCTATTTGGTTTGTCATTGGAGCATATCTCTTGTTTTTAGTATCTTCTGCCCTTTAGTGTTACTGGTGACCGTAGTTTATGCAGTACAACGTGTCAAATTAATATTCAAGCATATATGCCCTTCTCTAGCTCTCTCTAAACATAAGCACATAGTTGCTCTGACACATATATATTCCTGGTATTTATTTGCTATAAAACTAACCAGTCTTTCTCGGTATAGCTACTTGTTTTGTGCTGTGATATCAAATACAGTGATCCCCTTTTTAGTAGTCAATGATAACTACAGCTTTGTCACAAATAATCAAACACAAGAGGCCTTCACAACAGACAACAATCATCTATTAAACATTTTTTAAAGTGAAAAGTAGCACACATACCTGAGTTACTTTTAAACCCCTCCCACATGTTTTGCTTTCGTCTGATTGGTATTGAACACAAGTTTATTTTGATTGTATACCTGCAAATAGGACATTTTTTATTAATCATTTCTACTTGGTTCTTGTATGTGAAATATGATCTTATTTGTTAAATTAGTTACATGCAAATAAATTGCTCAAAGCAAATATCTTGAAAATACATATATTGACCAATTCACAGTCCAATGATGGTCAGCGGTTTGAGAATCAGTTAAAATTGTTAAATTTTTCCTCAAATAAAGTTGAAATATAAAAAAGAAAAGAAAAAAAAAAACAGTCTGCATTGCACCCACTAATCCACTGAACAGAGAGGCATTGTAGGGGAAAACCTCACAGGCCTTTCACATCCATTACAGGTTTGTACTAGGACAGTTTCATAGAAGGATAATGTACAATGCTACAAAGGATGATTTAACAGCAATTCTGCACTGCTGGAGTAGATGGTGCATCGCCGACCCATAAAGGAGAGGGCATCTTAACAACTTCCCGTATAAGCATAGTGTTCAAAATCGAGTAAAAGCACATGGATTATGCTTCACGAGCAAGAAAAGGACACAGACAAACATCATTTGTGCAAGCATCATTGTCTTTGTCATTATATAGAGCTATTTGTGATAGAGAGAATGCAGATAAAATCATTGTTAAAGAAGAAAAAATATATCTATATATTACTAATCAAGCTGGGGTGCAAATCTCAGTTTCTGGAGGACCACAGCCATGCAGAGTTAAGCTCAATTAATTAAACACACCTGATCCAGCTAATCAAGTCCTTCAGGCTTATTTGAAAACGACATGGTATATGTGTTGGAGCAGGTTTGGAACTAAACTCTGCAGGGCTGCGGCCCTCCAGGTATTGAGTTGTGTACCCTTGGTCAATTGCACTGAATGGGTTTACAAATCAATAGCCAGTGAGGTGCCTGCGGTGAGGATGAGGATGGTTTCTTAAAGTAAGTGCGTGAGGTCCTGTTGTGTGTTAGACTCTGTTGAATACTGTAGATTGAGGTACTGGTGATGGTGGTTTACCTCTCAAAGAAACGCAGATCTGCTGCAGATGTGTCTTTTTCTGACTGGATAAAAATCTTGGCGTCTTTTAACTATGTTTCTAACCTGTCAGACCTACAACTACATTAATTCCAGCCTGATCGCATTATGGCAGTCTAAGATACTGGAGAGGTGAGAAGTGCTGTGTTTGACACAAAAGTGACATTAATAAGTCTATGTTGAACTCATCCTCGTATATCGTTCACATGTGAGGTATGAAGGTTTGAAATAACAGAAGTGCTCATCATCAAATCACTACAAGACAATCTTGATATGGGAGACAGACAGAGTAAATACTAATGAAGGGTGTCAAACCAAGTAAACACATGAGAAGCACGATGGCTGTCCACACTGAGCACTTACACACCCACAGTACAGTTCAGATTGAAAAACATGTACAACAAAGCACGGTGTCTGACATCAACTTTAGTTTTGCTCTGTTTGAACAATTGCTCGTCACAATCCGCTCACTTAAAATTCACAGCCTGCAAATGTGTTTTTTCCACTCAACATAAAATACAGCAAGTATTCATACTTAAGAATGAGTGCTTTGTCTTTTTATTTTTTTACATTCCTCATCAGAAGATGGACAGAGTTTTTTTTTTTTTTTTAAGGAATGGCAGGTCTTTTTTTCACACTCGAACTTTTGGACCTCAAATATGACTTGCTACATTGCAGACATGGAGATGTATTTCACATGGAATTTATTGGGGCGTGTGAATTTTCCAGAGGGCTGTTGAGAAGACTTTGCCTATTTTAAGATCTATTATAGGAGTCATATCATACATTTTATTATTATTATTTCATTTTTTTCCCCTGAGGTCCACTTATAATTTTTTGCTCCAACAATAATCAAAATTTAGTTTTTAATAACTGTTTTTACATCTTCTTGCTGATCCTTAACATTGAACAGGCTGTTTTGGCTTTAAGTCATAAACAGTTTATTTGCATGTGAAATGAGCAACAGGCTTTGCTGTGCTCATCTGTAAACTGAATCCAATCTGCTCTAAAAAATGTGTGCTGAAACCTTGTTCAAAATGATGTTTCTTTAAAGAATATTTCACCCAAAAATGAAAATTCTGGGATCATTTACTCGCCCTCATGTCTTTCCAGATTCCTTTTCAAGACTTCCGTTCATCATCTGAACACAAATCAAGTGTGTGTGGTTTATATTCTCTCATCATTTTTGTAAAAACTGGGCCCAATGCACTGTTAAATATGAATTTGTTTTATCCATATTTTGAACTGTGCATTGCATGTTGTCTTTTAGGGTTAAAGGAAACGTCCGTAAATTTAAGGGATATTGTCCTGGTATTACCTTATCCATTTTTTTTCTTCCTTTTTTCTAACTATTATTACTTATTTCTTTTTCTTACAGAAAATGTTAAAAACCATATTTGATGATATTTATGTTTGCATTTGTAAAAAAAAATTAACAAATAAAGCACATCTTGATTCATATAGATTACTTTTAGGATGTATTTGTACTTTCTGATGCATCAAACCTTTGGTTGTGTGGACTTTAAATAAATTGACAAAAATTTGGAGAATATATTAAAATATCCTCATTTGTGTTCAAAGATGAACAAAAGTTTTATGGATTTGAAACAACACGAGAATGAGTAAATTATGATAGAATTTTCACTTTTGGGTGAATTATGCCCATTAACACTGGGATCCTACAGAAGGATCTGCAGAGCAGTAGATGCTACACACAGCCAGGAAAAGCACAAAGTTTGATGTAATTTCCGACATTTTACTAATCGTTAGTCCTTCTGGTAATATTACCTATCTTGCTTTGTCATAGTGAGTGGACACCAAATAAGAATTGCTAATATGTAAATGTTGGTGGTCATATGTTGATATTCAGAAAAATACATTTTTGCTGCATAGTTTCAGTAAATGCCTTTAAATTTGGACAAGGGAAGAAGCTCTGAAAGTTACAGTCTGATTTCATAGTACAATGAACTTTTATTTCAAAATATCATGATATGACCCCTTTAAGAGTCAAAGTCTCAATCAACATATTCATGGTCTGGCTAGGTGTAAAGGACTGAATTCTGCTCTAATAAAAGTCCAGCAAAACAAATGGCTTCCTGATTCCCCGTTATCAAGAACAGGGTCTGTGGGCAGGGCTCAGCTGAGCTGACCCTTGCTGGTGCAGAAGATTGTGACTGTGGGCAGTGCATGTTTGCAGTGCTGGTGGGTTAGATTGAGCCTGAGTCAGATGCATGGCCTCATGGGAGCTCCGTGCCTGAGTTTAGCTAGTCACAGTGAGTTTGTCCTTTCTGCCCTTTTGTTCCTCTGTGTCACTTTAAATGGAGGCTGCGTCTCACTTCCTGGAGCCATACTGACACAGTATCAGTCAAAAAGGACATTGAAACCCTGCTATGCGTCTGAACCACAAAAATGAAGCTGGTTAAACTACTTGAAGGGATGCTTTGGGGGTCCGGCTCTGTCCTTTGCTGGGGAAGAGTTCATGTAAAGTTCTTGTGTGAGATGTACAGGCACACATGCACAGGACAGGTTTGGAGGCACAGGGACCACAGAACTGGGCTGAGAAAAATTAAGGTTTGTGTTACGCAGGAGCCATCTTCCTGTGCTGCTTCTCCAGCATTTGCTTAAAGCAAAATAATGTGCTAAGCAATCGGTTAGCTCTGTTACAGCACAGTGAAATTCATTCATAGCACATTCTTACTGTCCTCAGAAACAGGGAACAAGACTGCCACTTGGTCCCACATCACATCATGAAAGGGAAAGCAGTATACATACACGTGAGTGAGGTTGCTGTCACACGTATGTGACTTTTTAGTGTAAATGTGCACGTTCGTGTACAGGTTTAAGCAGGAATATATAAATGCATGAGCAGGTGAGTGAAAAAGACTGCGATGCATGGATGAGGGGTGAGGTAGAGTCTGTTTGAAGAGATGGAGAGGTAAGTAGGGCTGCACGATAAATCGCATGCGATATTTAACGCGCATCTTGTCAGAAAGCCGGTTCTGTAATCAGCGGTAAATCTCCGTGATGGAGATGCGCCAAAAATCGCACGAATATGAACGTGATTTTGCGCAGCTCGTCAGAGAACAACGGCTCTGTGTAGTTAATGCTGCTCAATGTGAAAGCACGCACGTGATGGAGATTTACCGCTGATTACAGAACCGGCTTTCTGACAAGATGCGCGTTAAATATCGCATGCGATTTATCGTGCAGCCCTAGAGGTAAGAGGTAAGTGACACTCATTTCCTCTTGCAAGAAGGTTGAGGAGATTTTAAGTTCCCTACTTTCATAATCAGCTAAGATGTAGTGTACAATGGGGCTAAAAGTCCTTTCTATTTTCATTTTCCTCTCAAAACAATGGATAGCCACAAACACCACTACAGTACTACCCTAAGGACCTGTCTGTCGCTATGCACTGCAAAATAAATAAGGTTTATTTGAAGTCATTTATATTTAAAACATTGTAAATGTTGCAGATCTAACTAATGAGAGTCCTTGAAATTATACATTTTGCAACGATGCTTGTTTATGATTTTCAGTTTTGTTGAAGGTGATTAAGTCAACAGTTTTTCAGCAAACTAGCAATTAGTAAATTACTAAATTAGTATTTGGGAAAAATTTGTATTAGGTAAAACTAAAGTAGCAACAGATTGTGATATAAGTGTATGTGATTTTGATTAAACATAACAGTGCCAAAAAATGCACATATGCGCGAATGAATGGTTCACAAAAAGAACAATAACATGCATTTAGAAAACAGATGTGATGAATTTTCATTTTCAAGTTTTATGCTGACTATAGAGTTTCTTTCTTCTGTTGAACACAAAAGAAGATATTTTGATATGTTGGCAACTAAACAGTTGATGGTAGTATTTGTTTCCATACTATGAAAGTCAGTGGCTACTGTCAACTCTTTGGTTACCAACATTC